TTTAGCATAATGAAGTTCTAGTTTTTTGGCTCTGTTGAAACTTTATGGTTCGAAGGAGACACCACCATTTATTAAGCTTATTCCATCTTCACCCCACCCTGGCACTTCCATTCTTCTAGTGAGGTTTCACATTGCAGATATTTAGTTAAATTCCATCAAGTAAATTTTTTAATGCTACAGAAAACTTCTGATGAGTGTGCTATTTGTGCAAAGTGGTAGCATTTGGCTTAAGCATTTAAATGACTCTAGCACAAGTTAGCAGATCTCAGAAAGAATAATGTAATCAGTAGTCACAAATTTGTTTTAGAATAAAGAGTGATTAACGCTTTAAACTTTTGGCATTGGTTGTGGTAAGGATCCAGTTTCAAACGACAGTCAAGTCGTGCCTTTGAAAGCATGACAGTACTTCCCATTTAAGCTTGATATTTTATACACTGACTACAATGACACTATGAATTCTCTGTAAGAGAATGAAGAGAAAATGCCATTTTAAAGAGAAAGATTAAGTGGTATTTGGAGAAATGGAAGCTTTTGTGGCACCCTTTAAATGGGCAGTCTCCGTTTAACTTTTGAGGGTGTCAATTTTCCACCTGCTAATTTGATGGTTTGTAATTCCAGTGAAAAGCAAGGGAGCCAAATGACCTCTGTTTTCTACAGGCTGCGAGGCAATGTCTTTGGAACTTACAACTAGGGTTTTGCTATTTTGATAGGCTGTTTATAAATAGAAGAGGGGTTGTGTTCCACAATGTCATTTTAAAGGTTTCCTGAAATGTTTCCTGGGTTATGCATGAGTCAACACGCCTTTGAAACTGTCTGGTAGGAGCTTGCTGGTATAAATTTAGCATCACTTATAGAGGTTTCACACTGAAGAAGCAATTAGTTGAAAATCTTCTTCATTCGATTCAGTTATTCTAGCTGAGTCAAGATTTGATTCATAAATTTCAGATAGGAGCAAAGAAAGATGATCCAGAGAGTCCCATTAATTTAGAAAAAAGAAATATCCTTTTAGCCACAGTTTGCATATAATTAGACAAGAATTGATATCACTGTTTCCAATATCTCTTTATAAAATCACAAATTAAAAGGATTATAATGAGGCTTGATTATTTCATGCCACTATTCGTCATCATCACAAATCCGTTAGAATTTGTAGTGTTTTTCCCCCTCTTTTATCACCTAGGACAGTTCCTATAACATCATAGGTGTTCATTAATATTTGTTGAAAGAATTGATATTTAATAAGTTCTAAATATCAAGGCCAAAGGGTTATAAACTTGTACAACAATATCAGAAGTTTAATAAAAAAATCAGTGCTATATAAATTTATAGGAAATTAATTATGATATATTTTTCTGTTTAATGATAACCAAACTAGAATTTGCCTAGAAGTCATCTGTTTTAGTGTTAAATTTTAAAGAACATAATCACTTAGAGTCTCTCTGCTTCTTGATTAATTTGTGGCCTGTGTTTCTATAACTTTAGTTAGTATTTTTTTGTTGCTGTTGTTTTGGTGGGGGGCTATTGCTGAGTTATATATGATTTTATCACTCTGATAAGTATTCATTTTGCATTTTATAAGTGGCTGATACAATAGAAAAATTAGTCTCATCACAAAGAAAACATTGCTTTTCAAAAAGTAACTACATTATTCAATTAACCAAAAGACACGACACAAACAGATTTTACCTATGTCTTAATAATCAATGATCAAGAGATGGGGGGAAAAAACCTTAAGTAAATCTCTTTCATTGACTTCCTTCTCCCAAAGGAAACCTAGTATGACAAAGGAAATGCAAGCTGCTCCAGCCACTTAACTTGCAAATCAATTTGGCTTGGATTATAACTGGGAATTAAGCCCCAATAAAAGGTAGAGGGCTGGTGCTAAAACAACAGGGACCAAAGCAGGAAGCTTTGCCATTGACAGTGAATGACTAAAAAGCTGTGTGTCAAAAAAGGCTATAATTTGGTTAGATATACTTTGGAGGCAATGCAACAGCTGCAAGTCAGATTATTTTTCTTGGTATAAAGATCTTAAGTATCCCGACTGGCTGCATCTAGATTGATCCCCATTTTAAAAAGCTTAGAAAAACTGTGGCGCTTTCCTGGCATGTGGGCAGTTTTTGTTGAATAGAAGGACTATTAATGGAAAAAAAAAAAGTCAGATGGAACACTGTGCTCTCTCAGCTTTTCTGGGGAAAGAACAATGAAATGATTTCATTATTAGTATTATCTGCAACTTTGACCCAACATTTTCATACTATATCTTTAAAGATTATACTTTTTTCTAGACATTCCCTACCAGCTAGGGTAGGGAAAATTCAGCACACATTATTAGCCATTGCCTAAGATCTGTCATTCTCCGGTGTGTGGTATACATCACGTGTGTGTGTGTGTGTGTGTGTGTGTGTGTGCGTGTGCGTGCGCACATGCTGCGTGTTAGTAGGTCATCTGTGTATGTAGTTTATGGGAGATGTTTAGAGATTAGGTTATGTATATGAAAATTTGGAATGAAAGCTCTCATAGTTGGAAGGTTAATCCTTCTGTGTGGCAGTGATTATCTACCCCAGTTGGACATATAGGGGAATAAATTGTCTTTTTTGTTGGTTGGTTGGTTGGTTGGTTGGTTTTCCTGTTTCTAGATTAAGCATCCTTTTGGACATGAAGCTGCAAAAGAGACCAGCCAAACATAAACAAGTAGGCATCGGCCTTCTTAGGAAGATGAAGTGAAACTGAATTAAATATTTATTATTTCAGAAAATGGATTTACATTCTACCCTCAACTCTGTCCCAGCCAGAGTCACCTCTTCCCCACGTTGCCATACTCTATGTTCCATGAATAAGTTGAGTGCTTCACATGTAAATACTTCAAGGGTTTGTAATGGTCCAGCAAATATGGCACACATGATTCTTTCACGTGCTTAAATGAAAGAACAATTGCCTCTTGCCATTTTTCTCTTTGGGCCCTTTAGATTGTGTTGGTAGGGGGGAAAAATTTGGAGATCGAGCACTAAAAACTGTAACTCTAGTCAACACAGGATATATTACCAAGATTTGAGCAAAATCCTAATCTGATTAGCCCAAAGGGCTTATCATTCAAAAGGAACATCCTGCTGTTGTTACTGCTCCCTCCATAAGAGCAAACCCAAAGCTCCTTTCATGTTCATATTAATGGTTACGAATTTGGCACAGTGGTGGGGGTAGAGAAGGGGCAGGAACCAACTGCACAGTGGAAGAGCTGCCAAACAAACACATTTTCCCCAAATCGAGTTTTAGTAGAAACTTTTCCATTGGAGGATTTTCTTCAGATCGAACATTTTTTTTTAAGTTCAACTAAATAAAATAGTATTTTTTTAAGGAACTGAGATCTACAATATATTGATATCCATATTTCTAAACATCCAAGTCTAAAAAACGTAAAGAATTAGTGATGCAGTCGCTGAATAGCAAGGCATGTCCGCATTTCAAGGAGGCATAAAATGTGAAATGATATGACAATAGAAATTCGAAAATATGAAACAGATGTAGCATAGCATATTGCATTGAAAAAAGGTAAAATACACTATCTAGTTACCTAAATTAATTTACAAGAAAAACGAGATCTTAGAAGTCCTCCTATGAACCAAGTGCAGATAATCTAAAGGTGGAGAGTACATGTTTTATTTCTATTTGTCCCCTTTAACAAGAGAACGTGAGGTAATTAGAATGTATTTCAATGCATTCTGGACTGTTCTAATTGTCCCAGGCAAGAGAAATCAAAATGCTTCAAAAAGTAAGGCCTATTTGAGTATTTGGGTAGAGGCCCACCCCTTCAATCAGCTAGTCATGAAATGGAAATCTCACTATACACCCATTTTGTAGATATGGATTGATCACGCTGTAGAAAAGGCTGCTTGCTGAGGATATCTTTTCCATGGTTCTCAGCCTTCTCTGCTTTTACCAAGATAGGTCTTCAGAGTAGCCAAGGAAAACAGGTCATTTTTCTTTCATAAAGTATCATTAGATGATTCCTCTATATTAATTATATGAACCTTATAATAGTTACAGATTTTTTAAAAATTTAAATTTTTCATCTCTAAGAGTTCTCAGTCCCCACCCCTCACAAGGTACCATGAAGGGGCACTAAAGTGCATTTTGATACAGGGGAGTAGAGTTTAAAGGTGCTGTCCAAGCTAAGAATCAAGATGATGCTGTTTAAAAAAGAAAGGCAATTCCTTCTACCTCCATCTCTGGAGTCAATCGAGGGAGGGCAATGAACTAGACCCTCACCAGAGGATTGTCCTAACTCTTCACTTTACAGAAAACTGTGTAAGGACCTGCACATATAGACTCATTTATTTGTCCAAAATAGCAAAAATAGGCCTATTTTACCCTTAAGAAAGTATTTGCAAATATGACCAGTCATGATCATAAAAACGTGAATGGATTCCAGATGCAATCCATGTGGGCATGCTCGGTGGTGCTAACTATGCATCTTCAGCTTAAAAGAACATGCTGCTGTTCATTTTCATCAAAACATGACTTCTAACTACCATAAATAAAATACACATGGAACGATTAAATCTTTTTCTTACAGTAATTACTTTTACATTAAAAAGTCACCATCATCTTCAGATATATCGAAAAGTAGGACTCTAAATCTTATTATTTCCCAGTCTTAGTTAACAATCTTGCACAGGCCCGATAATCCAAAACTTGGAGCTCTGATCTACACAGCTTGGCAGGTTTCACAGTTTGACAGGTAGGCAATTGTGAGATATGCTTTTTTAAAATTAGCGTTTTCTATCAAAACAGTCTGAAATCTTTTAAAATCCTCATAGAGACTGTATTTGTGCAACGCCACAGTCACGCAGCTAGAAGGGAGAAAACAAAATACAGTCTGGAAGATTCCCTACAGTCCAAGTTTTCTTGGTCCTCAGTTTAAACAACCATGAGCCCAGGAAATCCAATTAAATACAGTGCTTTAAATAGGAGAAGAATAGATCCTAGAATAACTTAAGCTACTAGACAGGGACGGTCTCGACCACGGGTGATTTGATGCACTCTTCGTGCAATCTGCTCTTTTCTGCAAGGCTCAAAGAATTTTCAGTAGGATGCTCCGAAATGTGACTGTCACCATTCAATGCAGAGACGAATCCTTCCTGGGAGGGACCTTTCAAGTATGAGTGAAATTCCATTTGAGGATGACTGGCCCTATGTTCGGGATATAAGCTACTGCAGGGCACACTAGGGTCATTTTCCGAAGACGAGCAGCACACGATGACAGAGGGGTTGGCGGCTGGGTAGTGGGAGGTGCCGTAGGCCTCTTCTGCTTGCCGGGCGTAGTCAACGAATTGCTCAGGGGTCATGGTGTAAGGCACCAGCGAGAGGGCACCGTTCTTCACAGGATCTCTTTCAGAATAGTTCTCAGGGATCTGGTTGGGAGTCCCTGGAATGTGGCTGTCTATTTGGTAATACAGAGTCGAAGAGTTGGCATAAAAAGAAGCGTTTTTCGCGTGGCTTTCGTGGACGGCGGTGCCATCTGAATAACAAAGGACGGAAGGAAGAGGGACGACCTCGGCGTGGGGACCCAAACCTTCCACGAAACTGTCCCCTTTCTCGTCATCGTCGTCGTCGTCCTCCTCCTCTTCCTCCTCCTCCTCATCTGACTCACTAGGTGCCAAGCTCTGCGTGCTGGAATCGGTGACTCCGCTGCAGAAGCTGCTCCCATCTTCCTCCTCCTCCTCTTCTGCCTCACTAGGCGCCAACCTCTGCGTGCTGGAATCGGTGACTCCGCTGCAGAAGCTGCTCCCATCTTCCTCCTCCTCCTCTTCTGCCTCACTAGGCGCCAACCTCTGCGTGCTGGAATCGGTGACTCCGCTGCAGAAGCTGCTCCCATCTTCCTCCTCCTCCTCTTCTGCCTCACTAGGCGCCAACCTCTGCGTGCTGGAATCGGTGACTCCGCTGCAGAAGCTGCTCCCATCTTCCTCCTCCTCCTCTTCCTCTTCCTCCTCCTCGCCTTGGCAATCTAACTCCTCGGCGGACTGCAGGTGCAGCACTGCAGCCTGGGGGTCGGATTCAATCTCAAAATTGTCTGCGATCGAATATTCTACCGAGTGCGCGACCGGGCCCATGGAACTGCTGTGAGCGCTTATCTCCCCATGGCAGCCGTTCAGTGTGGGGATCTGCTGCTCTCGGTTTTTCTCCAGTTCCAGTTTCATGATTGTGTGCAAAAAGTGAGTCCGGACACGGATGGGATTAAATTCAATTCTACCTGCTGTGTTACTACATCCTTCTTTAGTGCAGCCACATGGGAAAGACATTCGATCCACCTTGGAAGGGAGAACACAGATTAGCTTCATGAAACTTACAAAACCACACAAAAATCCAGTACCTTTAAACAACCCCTTGGAATCTGGGATTACTTTATCCCACTCATGCCAGAACAAATGACTATCAAACTGTAAACAGAAATGAAAAGGGAAAGTGAAAGCTTTTTAAAACATAAGGCTCAACCTAGTTTTAAAACCTATATTCAAAACAGTTACAGCATTATACTAAAAATATGGTGTATATTTTCAGCTCGTCAACCCTTCCCATACTTTCTTTACCTCCTCCTTCATTTTCTTTTCCCCCTTCTCTCCATCCCATTGATTTTGCTCCCTTTTTTTCAATGCTTCTGTCTATTCCTCAAGTTCCCTTTCTTTTTGATGCATGCCCAATTTTAAACAAACTTACTGCCCTTACTGCCACCTGTTATTTTTAATCTAAATTATGACATTCCCCATACTAGCCATACCCCTTTTTGCTTTGCTTATTATAAAATGAACTTCTCTGCCCAAGATGTTCAGGTTGACACAACTTAATAAACTTCTCTAAGAAAGAGAATGCTCATTTAATCGATATCCTAAAATTATTTGAGTGATTGGATTCTGTAGATAGAGCGATGGGGTTCAGCAAGTGTCATTGGACTGAGCCCTTGACTCAGGTGATATATGGAATTCTGGGCAGTCCAAGGGTACTCCTAAGATATTTGCTAATAGTCTCAGTCTTCACCAATTAACCTGCATGCAGACCAGGCAACCAGAAAGAACTTGCCTGTTGGCCGCCTTATCCAAGTGCGGGGAATTTTGTATGCCACAGAGGAAAAGAAAGACTCTAGCACAATCATCCTGGTCCCAATAAAAAGTAGTAGCATATGTAAGATCCAGAATCCAGAGCTGTCTTCTTACTTGTGAATCCCTTTTCTATGGATCTAACTGTTCAGATAATGAGAACCATCCTCTCCTTCTGCCTGTGTGAGGGACTCTCCTTATTGAAAAAGTCAAGTTTCTGCTTAGAATAATGATGCCTAATTAGTCATGGAGCACCAATAATATTATAGATGGATGGGGCCCTGAGAATCATTTAGTCCAGGGGTCGGTAAGCTTTTTTTGGTAAAGGGCCAGAGGGTAAATATTTCAGACTTTGTGGGTCATACGGCCTCTATGGAAACTACTCATCCCTGCTGTTGAAGCGTGAAAGCAATCGTAGACAACACAGGAACAAACAAGGAGCAAATGAAAACATCACTGTGCTTCTGTAAAACTTCATTTACAAAAACAGATGACGGGCCAGATTTGGCCGATGAGTTAAGAGTTTCCCCACCCCTGATGTAGTTCAGCTCTTTCATTTGAGACGGGAAAACTGAGCCCAGGAAGTTTACCTCACTTGCCAATTTCACATAGCTGGCAAAAAAGCAGAGCCAGGAGAAGAACTCAGTTTTCCTATGTCCCAGTCTAATCTAGTAATTTTTCCACTAACCCATACTACCTCTAACCAATCACTTGATACTCCATGGATGGACAGAAAATACAAACTCAAATGTTAGGCATGTCATGATCTGCCTGAATGCTTGTAAAAAGCCAAAATAAGCTAGTGTAATAGATGAATCCAAGAAGAAATAATGTCGATTGACTCAGCTGCAGCTTAGGTTGCCTTTCACATTATATCTTATATGTATGAGTGTATTATGTATACTCATAAACGTCCTTGAATGAGTACTTCTCTTTTCTTGAATCGTGTGTCTTGCCTTGCCCAAAGTTGTCTTCTACATGTGGGAGACTTCATTGCGTGTAACACGACTGCCTGTTTAGGTGGATAATGTCTTGTCTTTGGATTCCCTGAAACTGAAATCCTTACCTGACACTTGATGCCTGCCAAGCTGCAGGTACATGTTTCTGGATCACAGAACACACGGCAGTCGCAGCCACAGTCCTCTCGTGATAGGCGGATGGCTCGCAGCTCATGCTTTTCTTCCACGTCAATCTTTTTCACTCCAGAGGCCCGCAGCAGTGCTCTCCGTTTTTTTGTTGGCAGGGGTTGTAGAAAGAAGTACTCATCTACCTCTGTGTTGTCTAAATCAATATCATCATCAGAAATGTCGTCCACTGTGAGAGTGCTAGCTTCTTCAGATTCCACTGTGCCATTCTTAGTCATCTAGAAATGCAAGGCATCAGAGAAGAGACTTAGCCTGGGCGGAGTCTAAAATCTTTACTTTTGTACTTGGTAAGAACAAAACTATTACATAATATCATGTCCTGATTATCAACAAGCATTTCTGGGTCGAATCATTTCCATTTATTTGTCTCTTTAGAGAAGTCACAAGGAGGAAAATGAAGGCATCAAAATGATAGGCTTTTAAATGTACCAATAACAGAAGATCGTTAATTAGGTCCTTTAACCTCCTAATGTTAGGAGCTAGAGTTGTTAGAGCTTTTAGCCAGTGCAATGTGAAAAAGACCAAAGGTTACAGATGCCCATCAGTGAAAGCTATCTTTAGACTTAGTTCATGATGGGCAGCTCTGATGTTGGAATAAATGTGTCCTTGTTCAGAGATGATAGCATCTTAGTGGAAGCCATTGCCACCAAATCAGCAAACATGTTGTCCTTGAAATAACCACCCTGCCTTTTGGACTCCAGCAAAACCATGTACTAGGAAATAAAGTTGTGCTGCACTGTGCTATTGATTGAGATTACAAACATGGTCACCCTACAGAAAATTCCAAGAATGAGGGTTTGGTATGAAGCAATCAGTCAGGGTAGTGTGCTCTCAGCAGTGCTGGTAGGCCCTCGTTGATGGGCAACTGGAACAATAAACTCAGCTCTCAAAGGAGTTCACATGAACCTGTATCCAAAGCAATACCTTCTGCATAATAGCTCATGTGGACAATTATGTCTCATATACCCACAACTATTGTGCTTCTATTTATATCTCTTTTCTAAATTAATTTCATCCATCAGTAAACATTGAATCACTATTTCACTTCTTACTGTTATGCCACTACATATGTTTCCTTCATAAAAAAGCATTTAGAAAGAGATGTTTTCTCTGAATCTAAGCAAGAAATGTATTCTGAGAAGCAGCACAGGAGCAAATGCAGAAATACCGTAAGGGATTATTCAAAGAAGTTCTGAATAAAGAAGCTCTTTTGATCTCCTAATTTTTGAACTAATTCATAAACTTCACTAATTATAGTTATTATCATGATTTTTTAAACCTTAACAACAGCTCAGTCACCACACAGTAAAATACTCCAATGACATCAGATATCACTTTCCCACCTTCATAGGGAAAAGTCCAACATTTATATAAGAATAATTATTATTGATCCAAAATTCTAGACTGGACAACTCTGAATGTATTGAAAAACAAATAGAACACTGGCTTTTCCCTCAAGTACAGGAAATAACACAGTAGCAAGTGTATATTAAAATGTATTCCAAAGAGTTTCTGAAATGCATTTTCAAAAGCTAATGAATTATATCTTTTTGAATATTTCAGAGTTTAAATCTGTGCTCTTGCAAAGATGAATATTCCCTTGTATTGAGTTTTGTTTCTTGGTATGATCTGCAATTTATCTCCTTCATTGGCATTTCTTTATAAAGGTATTGGTTAAGCTGTTTTTGAGTTTCTGTGGTATCCATTACTAGGATGTATCCATTACTTTGATTGGTTGCTGTTATTTTTGTTGTTGTTGTTAATTCTTATTTGCAAACAGAAGCATCTTTATATCTGTAAAGATCTGATTTTCTAAGGAAATCAAGTGTGTAATTGCTTAACATCTACTCAATTCTATGTGAGAGGTAAAGCTGCATTAACAAACTGGAAGGGTTATCTCTCCCACCTTGTCACCTCTGTGGCATTTAGATTTATTTTCATTAATTTTTGGCTTGCCTATGTGAAACTTCATCAAGCTTCTGACTCCACAGCACATGTTGAACACCCAGGACTTGGTCAGCATGATTCATTCCAATACTTCCATCCTACTTAATCTCCATGTTCTATAACATTTATGCTCCCTTGTGTAACCAGCAACATCATAAAAACAACAAAAACTCCATTTGATATCAACAGAGTTTGTTTTTTTAAAAAGAATAATGGTTGCTATTATATAATACATGAACTCTAAGAGTCAACAAAAAAAATAAGATTTTAGCAAATATTTAAAAACATGAAAGATTTTAAGACAACGTGAATGCCAAATGACACCTAAGAATTTTTAAAAATCTGTATCTCAAATAATGTATAGATGGTTCTTATCCCAAATACAAGTGCCCTTCAAAATTAAATCTGCATCTCTTATTCTCACATACTTAAATTACAATACATAATTTTATTTCAAAATAAAAAATTCAATTAAGAACTTAAAGGTCCTTCACACAGAGCTGCATGCTGTTTTCATTCTTGTTCAAGAACCCACAGGGGTCCTAACTTAGCTTTTCAAAATCTCACATCACAAAATCTAGTGATGTGGCAAGGTTTTCTCCTCACTGCTTCAATATCACTTCCGTCATTTCTAATACAAATTGGAAATATTCTAGCTCATCCTGGTCAATTGGCTTATCTCCCCCTCTGGACAGGTTCCATTTTGGAATGTAACCTGTGAGAAATATTATTCTCTGCTGTCCCCTTGGAAATCCTTCCCCAGTCCTCTCCTCCAGTCTATGAACATTTGCTCCTTTAAAACCCAGGCCAAACCTACTGAGTTTAAATGCTCTTTAAAAACAGTATATCAAATCAAATCAAATGTTCATATATATATACTTATACATTGCACGATGATTACCACTGTAGCAAAACATCATATAATTACCATTTCTTTTTGGGTGCTGAGAACATTTAAGATCTCCTTTACAACTTTCAAGATATAATATAGTATTGTTACCATGCTGTACATTATTAGATCTCCAGGATTTATTCATCATACAGACTAAAAGTTTGTTCTTTTGACCAACATCTTCCCATCCCTGCCCCTGCCTCTGGTAACCACCATCCCATCCTCTGTTTATATGAGTTCTGCTTTTTTAGATGCCTCACATAAGGGAGATGCTACAATATTTGTCATTCTCTGTCTGATTTATTACACTTAGTGTAATGCCCTCAAGGTCCATCCATGTCCCAAATGACAAGATAGTTAGTCTTCATTCTTATGGCTGAATAATATTCCATTTTGTGTGTGTATTACATTATTTTTCTGTTGACATGAGTGTTGCCTTTAAACGTCTCTTCCCTACCTCAAAATAGATTCATTGAATTTTCAGACTTCCTCAGATGCAGCCTCTGAGACTCTAACATGAAATTAAGCACAATGTGTTTAAAAAATCTGTTCCTAAAATAAATGTATACAGAGTAACCAGCACATTCAAAGGAATGCTCTTTTGAGATAGATACCTTAGAAAGCAATCTGGCACTTAGCACTTAGGTCACTTCTAATTCAGTGTTTTTTCAACCAAATAACGCTGCCTTCCCAAGAGCTCAAAGAATGCTGGTTTAATGAGACCATCAGATAATCTTGGCCCGCAAACTTGCTTTTGTTTCTGTGTACATGTGTGTATTGAGAAAAAGAAAGGTTGGAGGTGGGGTTGAAAGAGAGGTGAGAGAAACAGATATGACATGAAATGTTAATAACAGTTTGGAATCTGTGCGCCAGGCACTGCTCTAAGCACTTTACCTGCATTAACGCATTTAGTACGACAAAAATATCATGAAATACCTATTATCGAATCCATTTAACTGATGAGGAAACTGAGGCATAGGAATGCTAAATAACTTGCCCAAGATTACAAGTGAGAGTGTGCCCTAAGTCACAACAATGATATCAGGCTCTACAGCATGTGCTCTTAACTGCTATGATAATTACATATATAAATTTCTATATTGTTTTCTATATTGAATATATATTGATTAGTCTCTTGTGTTTATTTTATATTAGGCACTAGGTGTATCAGTGCACAAGTTTTGATCTCAAGAGATTGGAATAAAAGGATGAGGAATCTAGTAATTCAATCAAGTTCATAAAGATTTCCTAGCTGAGAGTGAACAAGGCACTTGAGAGGATATAGAAAGGGCACCTAGAGGTGGGGCTCACGGTAGGATGAGGAGAATAGACTTTTACATGTAAGCTTAACTCTGAATATGGAGTAGCAGTTAGATGAACAAGTGGAGGCAGAAGGTATTAGTTTCAAAGGCCCCAGATGAGTCACAGCATCCATTGGCCTAAAAATTGCCCAGATGACTGGACTTGGATGAGATCCCTTCCTGTTTTGGTCCATAAGCAAAGAACAAAAAGCAAATAAAGAGTAGGCCATTAGAGGGCAGCTTCTCTGTTCCTTGTAGGTGGATAAGTAATGACAACTCATGACTTATTTAATAATCTTTATCTTATTATATATTTAGAGTCAACATATTATATATTTATCCTATATATTTATCCTATATATGTATACATATATTGTATTGGAAGGATCTCAAGGTCAAGGGCTCTGATGTGTGTGTGTGTGTGTGTGTGTGTGTGCGCTTGCTTTGTTCCAATGACAATATTTAAGATGGGCCTTGGTTCTTGAGCCACTGCGTAAATTTGTCCAGACTCACCCTACAAATGAAACAAACTGTAACTTTTTTTTTTAAAAGACAGAATCAAAACATCTTAATTTTGTAAATCTCTCTGAAATGTACTGATAAGTATGAGTAAACAGTTTCCAAAGCCCAATGGAGTAAAAACCCTTGCCTATTTAAATACACTTGAGGGATGGGACACAATACTGTCAGAATCCATGAATGACTCAGACTGCTCTGGGTCAAGTAAAAGTGGAAAAAATCAGCTTTCGATCTTTTTTTTAAATCATGTAGTGAATGAATTCCACTACAAATTTCACTGAGATATAATTTTTGGTGAATTAAGTGCCTGAAGAAATGCAAATGACTATGGAGAGGGAAACGATACTGAAAATGCGAATTAACTAAAATGCCAGAAACAAAACAAGACAAAAATCCACACACGCACACACAAAAAAACAAAACACATTTGCAGCAGTTAAAAGGTATTCTTAGTAATGACATCTCCTTGTTATTATAAAGTTATTAACACACGTAAAAATGATTGTGGAAATAAGAATGTGAAAAATAATTCAATTTCACAAACACTAATTACTGTCTA